CCGTGATCGAAATGCGGACCATGAAGACGCTCTGGGAAGCGAGCCAATGGAAGAGGCCAGAGATAATCATCATGGGGATCGCATATCGAAACGGCACGTTAAGCCAATGGGTATCTCTCTGTCCTCCACGCGGAGAGGTGACCCGAAGGGGTTTGCGCTCGTTCAGATACGAGGCCCATTCGTGTGCGACAAGCATGTTCGTATAAAGTGCGTTAAAGGCTAGGTAAAAGTAGGACAGTAGTACCTGTGGTGTGTTTGCAAGCATGATACTACCCACGAGCGGAAGGTTGGAGCTGAACAGGTTGGCGCCGTTTACGGTGCCAAAACCGATTTGCCATAGTTCGCGTGGGTCCGAGGGCATACCCACGGGAGAATAGTAAAGACTTGGAATGCCGAAAACGAAGACGGCAAAATAACTGTCCCGGGCACGATAAGCTTAGATCGTGGGTTAAGGTCTGCTGACTTACGTTGCGTATGTCCAGATCCATCTGCTCTCACTAGGAGCCTTCCTCCACCTCTCCTCTTTTGCATTGTATCTTTGGGGAATGGATTTCCGCGCTGGTTGTTGGGGCTTACACTCTTCTCCCCAAAAACACTCGATAAGCTGTTTAGAATATAGACAGCGATTGCGGGTTGTCGGATCTGGCTCATCGAGATATGTCGCCACTACATCGCCCACCGTAACGAGAGGAGCATGGTCTCCACAGATGAAGAGCGTCGCAGCTATACAGGCCACCTTGACGATGTTTGAAATTATGACTGCCAGTGCGATAGAGAAGCTGAACTGTAGTTTGCAGAATTCTTCGACTTGCTCGACTATGCAATGATGGATTCGATTGCCGTAAGGTCTCCAATCTGACCGATTGCGCGGTACTTCATAGCGACTCCGGACATCGCAGCCTTTGACTACATGCGAAGGACAGCGCCACGTGTTCGACGGATAAATCTCTGGTGAGGCTATTTCGGGTAGTCTCTGTGTTGTAGGCGTAAGGTCGAGTTTGTGCGGCGATGTCCGGTCTATACGATCTGACGGGAAATTGATGTCATCCCAAACATAATACGAGGTGTTGGGGTTACGCCACAGTTGCCACGTTGTGTTGTTCCGCCACACTGTTGGGTAGTCTTGCACAAGATAAACATTACCCACACCGGAGACGTAATGGTTGTCGTACTGAGTAAAGCAATCCGAAGTGCTAATATTCTTGTATCTCGGCATCGTGCCGTCCTTTCTTAAATCGACGACATCAGAAAGATTGGGCCGATATTTGTCCATCTCTAGCACCATTTCCTCGGTAATGTCTTTCGTGAGGTTCTTAAAGTTAGATGTGTCATAAGGCGCCCCGTGGAACCAATCGTCTGTGATGGGAAGGGCTGCGTAGTTGTTGGCCTGAAGTTTGGCGAAGACCACTGAATTGAAAAACAGGTGGAGCGGCACAGAGGTGCAGAGCAGTAGAAGCCAGACGGCTAATCTACTGCGTCCAATGTGTCTGAAGTTGCGCAAGTTTGGTACCCCGATGTGCAGCCATACTCGTTTCGCATGAGCCCGGTCAAGCTCTACCCTATTGGGGGCGCTGAGGACCTGCATGCAATAGTTGCTTGCGCATAACAGTAGTGTGCTGAGGATGTTAACGAGTAGATGAATTCTGACGTTTAATTTTCTTGTCCGTCCGCAGTTACCAATGCTCAATGTTCCGATGGTTCCTTCAATGACGTTTTCAGGGTTCTTCCATACCCATATCGTGACGACGATGTTGAAGATGGTGACTATTATCGCTCCTACGAGCGACAAGACTGCTCCGGGTCGCCATCCCGTCAAAATGGGTCGCCTGGCCGGCCGCCGAGGCTGAAACACCGCGGATCGGGTTAAAAGCAAGAAGTCGTCGTCGTGCAATTCATTTCCATTGCTCGTGGCAAAGCTCTCCGGTTTAGTTGTGCTAGTACGTGATTCGCGAATAGTATCAATGCTGTAGTCACTGTTTTGCTCGTCCGTGGGCTCCCTACGCTGGTTAGCAACAATTATAAGGCTGCAATGACGTCATAGCCACGTGCCCAGCTCGTACCTTTCAAATAGCCGGATCTCTCCAGGGTCGACACCCACGCCCGAACGCTCTTCCCTATACGGAGATTCATACATGGCGTATGAATAGTGAATCTCGTGTCGCGTTGGAGTGGCATCACAAAGCATCTGAACGCCCATGGGGTTTTAATTGTTACCTACCTATGATCTTATCTCGGACCTGACACTCCGCCACACTTTCCCCTTCCCGCTCGAACTGCGCCCCTGCCGCGCCAGACATTTGCCAGGTAGGGAAATGCATCTCGAGCATTCGCCGCGTGTTGGGTCGTGGGGGCCGAGCAGAAGCGAGCGGGCCGCATCTTGGTTCATGCCCAGCTGTAGTCTGCCTAGGGACTTAGGTAGAGTGCCTATCCTGCAACGCCAATGGTCTGCTCAGCCTCATCTTCTGAATATATCCCCGTGCTTACTGTACTGCTATCCTCACCGGTCGCAGCGACTTTGTGAGAATGCGGGGATTTGATTTCACTCCATGTCACCAGCATCAGTGAAAATCGCCAACATAACACCTTCATCTGCAGAGGCTCAAGTTTCTGTTCCATCGTGGGCAAAGTGGCATATTAGAGTCCAACATGCGCTCTGATCTAGCTTCCGAAATTCTCACAGGTACGTGTGTGTGTGACGTCAGAGTACCCAATATAACACGTGACAACCATATAAGTTGTTGGAGGGCTGTGAGACGGACTTCCCATACAACACCACACTCCAGAGACAGCTTGTTCTATTCGCTGTATCGACGCATATCCAATATCAACGCACAACATCATGTCGGACAATTGGTTTACTTCCAAACTTGCCCCCGAACAGGAAAATCATCCTCAGGAAGTAGAGGCTCTGAAAGACTACCTGTATGAAAAGACCACCGCAGCGGAAGCAGCTCAGACTATCACGCGCCAGATAGTGACTTCAGCCTCCCCTAAAAACGATATAGCTCGCCTACAAGTCCTCCTAATCGACGCTCTTGTAGACCAACCCGGCGATAGTCCCAGCCGTGAAGAGCCCTTGATATCTCTACTGCGCGCCATTGAGAAGCTCGAAGAACCCGATTTCGAAGTTGTCGAACCAGCGGAGCGGCCACAAGCGAAACTTTGGAAAGGCTTTCCGTATTTCGCCAATCGATGGTACGACATCGGTTATCGATCCGGAAGCTGGAAAATGGATGCGGAGAAGGCGAGTGGGCCACAACGTGACGCATTACGCAAAGAGCACGTGAGGAGGGCTGAGGTTGAAGCGCGATTGGTATCCGAGAGGCTTGCGGGTATTCCTATTGACTGGGGATATGAAGTCATTGAGGATTCTCTGAAGAAAGACGCGCTGCTGGATTTCGAGGTGCCAGCTGCGGCGGCGTGGCTCCGTGGGTGTGGGAAGCGGTTTCGACAGGGCGCAGAAGAAGGGGAGAAAACATATGCGTTGGGTGGTGAAGCGATGAGTTTGGAGCGGTGGTCGGAGTGGAAAGCGCGGTTGCTACAGGTATTAAACCACTCGAGAGTTGTTCAGTTCGCGGCGGTCATGGCACTTGATGCTATAAATGCAGCAAATGGAGAGCAGGCGCTAGGATCGGGCATGATGTAGTTTGTACTCGAACAAGGCTGTATACCGCAGGTTTGATCTGATGTTGCGGTTGGAATACTACGTGAGTTGCAGTATGAAAGTGACAATAGGTTCTTGACTCTTACAAGCGCACCTGGAAGAGTGTCATAGTCGCCATTAGCGCAACACAAATTCCATCAACTCATGCCCTTCCGACATGCACTCCGCATCCATTTCACCATCGATGTAGGCTTCCCCAAGGAATCTGTACCCCTGTGGTCGATTATAGCTACTTGACCGACGAAGAATGACAGGTACGCTGCACCCATACAAGATCGCAATGACATCGTCCTTTGTGGTGTCTAACGGGCCGAGCCCTACGAGATCCTCGGAAGTTCTCACCGAAGTTGGTGAGATTGGCGATGTTGGGATTGAGTGCGAAGGTGGCGAGCCGGCTGGAATAGTCGACCTCCCTTGAAGGATCACCCTGTTGGACGTCACCGCTCGAACACGCTCCAAGTAGTCTTTGACAATGCTCTGCGGTGATACAGATTCATCTGCGCGCAACAGATCGGTCGTATCGATGTCGCCGTTAGGAGTCTCGTTAAGTAGGCAGTAGTTGCAAGCTCGAGAGTAATACGTCGGTACATCTGAGCCGTTGGGTCCACGACCGGCGACCAAAGTACGGCGGAGTTGATCGGGCGCTGGCTTATTTGCTGACGCATCTCTGTAAGTCCACCCCAGCTTTTCCAGCCCTCGTTGCGGAATAAGGCCGGATCGTATCGGAGGTGAGCTCCAATTCACTCTCCCGATAAGATAGCCAGATACTGTCAACGAATCGTCTTGTGGGAAGACGGAGAGCCGTGGACCTGACTTGGGACTTGGTGACCACTCTCGAGCATCGCCGTCCCCGAATTGAACGATCGGAACACTGCGCCCAGAAGCGTTGTACACCGCCTCCCCAGGAAGGCCTACAAGGCTGTCACCAGCTTTGCGGCCCCTGAATACTGCCTCGCCCGCTCCATAAGACCCGTCTTCTGCAGTTAGAATCCAAGACTGGAGTGTTACAAGCCGTGGTGCAACTGTGGGGCCAATGTCTAGCTTCTCCTTTTCTTTCAAAGCCCAATGACGGCAGATGATGTCCAGAGATTTAGATTCCCCTACCACCCATTCAACGAAGTCGCGATAGACTTCGAAGAGATCTTGCTTATAATTAGGTTCTGGCGGCTGTCTATGTGTACGTGCAGGTGAGCTTGAGCTCCTCGTTTTCACTGCATTAAGCTCCTTGGAAAGGTTGCGCAAACAGTTGATAGTGTCGCGCGGATCGGATGTACTGAAGGTGGATAGCTGACACACCAGCTTTTCCAAGCTCATGGTCGATTTGGTTCGAAATAGGTTACTCGTCATCTCCACAAGTAGTTTGGCTCCAAGAGGTTCTAGATCAGATATCGGACTACCGCCGAGTCTAGGGTTTTGTATCCTTGGTTGCAGTGACTTGAAGTAGCGGTGGAAAATTCCGATGGCGTCCCTGAAATCGTTCCAATGAACTTCAGACTGACCGCAGTGAACGGTAGCCTGCTGAGCTAGTGCTAGTTCCTGGATGACCCAACGTCGCGAGAACCAGCTCCACTTGAGCAATTGGAACAGACTCGCCCATTGCGGGATGTAACGATCGTCTGTGAGGAGATTGTTCAGCTTGTTCAGGTCGACCACATCTTTGATGAAAGTCATCGCTTTACTCGAATGGAAGTCCGGATCGTCCAGACCTAGCCAGATACAGACGCTGTATGCTTTTTGGTATATCTGATTCATCTTCATGACCTGAACCGTCTTCTCAGCATCGTTTTCCTGGTTGATGCAGAGTGCATCTACCCACAACGCCACATGCCTATCCTGCGCTCTCAGCCGTTTCAGAGCACTATACAGATTTGGTCGCACATAATGACGCTTCGCATAAAACTTCTTCTGAGCACTGAGTACCGCGGCCGTGAAATCCTTTATGGGCTCCGTGGCCCATTCGTCGTTGATGATGATGCTGTGCAAGTCCTCGCCTTCGCCCCAGTGATACGAAAGAGCTTCTTAGCAGTAATCATCGTTCCCAAGTTGATCTTCATCAACGACCTGTAGGATTGCGTTGATGTCGTCATCTTCTTGTCCTGGCTTGACGATAAGTAAGCGGACCTGCTTAGACCCAATGGATGAGTATTCGTATGTGTCTTCGAGCTTTTTGAGGGCGTTCAACATTCGCGACTTCGTCTTAGTGGGCTTTTCACTACCAGCAGGGTTTCGAATGCCTTGGTTCTCTTTGCTCTTGACTGCAGTCGGCTGAATCCTCTGATACCTCGTCAATTTTGGCAAAGAGGTCCCGACCTTTTGTGGTGGAGAGGAGGCGTTTGCTTCACCGATGCCGGATCCTTTCGAAACAAAGAAGGCCGATAGTCGCGAGTCATGGCGATTCGGTCCTGGTCGTTGGTGCGTAGCGCCTGGTTCGCGGGAGTCTGATGCTTTGTTTGGAGTCTAGGGCGGTCAGATATCGATGAGACATCCAGAACTAGCGATATAAAGGCAAAGTCAGCTCACCTGATAAGCTGTCTCATTGTCTTGTTCGTCCGCGCCCGCCATCGTGTCCACATGGTCTTGAGAATTATCATCCAGCTTGGAACGCTTGTGTGCTTTTTTATTGCTGTTCGTTTTCCCACCATCATGGACTCTTTTGTTAGACGGTGTCATTCTTAGAGAATGCGTATTCGCTCGTGCAAAACATGTGGTTCTAGGTCATGCCATGTACCATGAGCGGAGCAGGATCTCAACAGATATTATGCATTTGGCAAGCTTGCCAGAGGGGGAGGTACACGGGACGGTGGTGTGGAGCTGATTGGATATCGTTGCAGCTCCCCCATCCCTCGCTTCACCAGACGAGGGTGACCGTACAGTTGCTGCATACTCGCGTCGGATGTAGTCTGCTCAGCGAAAGTCAAAGTTGCTACCCAGTCCAGACTAATTACCTGTCCACAATCTAGCTGGATACTTTCCAGGTTCTGCGCATGTCCATGACATGATTCCGGTCGTGACTTTCCCTGTTTTGGCTCTGCGCGCACGCAGCTATAAAGTCTGATCTGCTCTCGAGTATCTGCCGGTCTGTGGGTGATGGATAAAAGTCATGCATGTGACGGCATGATCACCAGAGCTTTCCTCTTTCCGAGGTCATATCGAGCTGAGCCAGCTGATGAATCCATGCCCAGGTGGCGTTGATCCTGGGTTTATCAGGCCCGTTCCGCTCCAAGAGGCTTATCGAAACCGCCTGGGCAATGCAACCTTTCAGCCATGCCGGCGGTAGCTGGGAGGATGATTGCGATTTTTCAGCCTTGGCGGCAAAGTACCTAGGCATGTGAGCGAGACCAGCTATGAGAGCAGGTCTCAAAAGATTAGCTGGGTGGAGATGTATTAATAGACAGTACGAAGTGGGTGCAGTTGACATGTTCGCCTTTGCAATGTGTGTCTGTTCGCGATAGGTAGGTGGGTGCATGCGGAATGGCCCCCGCAGATGTGGGTAATTGCGATCTGCATCGTGCGCTCCGGCTTCTTTCGCGTCGTCTTCGCGGGCAGTCCACCGACACTTTCTGCCCGTTTCAACTAGTGCGCGCTTGATGGCGCATCCACCAGCCTGCGCAAACGATGCGCGATGTCATACAAGCTTCGCTGTATGTTCGACATTCGATCGCTGATCGGTGTGCACTCGATGACGGAACGGCTGTCCCATGCATACTCCACTACGCGCGCCTGGCGCGTTGGCAGTGTCGGCAATGCAAGTACTGCAGCCTAAGGCTCTTTCAGCCTTGGTGTCTACGGCAAGAAAGCGTCTTTCTGATATTATGCCTCGCTCAGCCTGGAGGTCATCACGTTGTTGGACTGCGCCACTACAGGTGCAACGCCACCGAGCTCATATAGCCCTTCCGGGATCGTCGCTGAGCAAAGCATTGCCATTGAACGACTATGGACCCTCTCAGTGTTACCGCAAACGTGATCACGGTATTGCAGGTCGCCAACTCCATTATAACAATATGCTACGAAGTCCGTTCAGCTCTCAAGCAGAGTCCTTGGTCCCTCACCAGAACCATCGACGAGATAAGAGACCTTCGAAATGTGTTGGAAAGCTTAGAACAGGTCTGCCGCGCACTCGACACATCAAAAGAGTCCGACACAGCACGTTTCCGCACATTCCAACTACTATGCGAGTCCGAGACCAGCCCGTTAAGTCGCTGCCTCCAGGAGCTATCGGATCTAGAGAAGAAGATCAACTCCGGCAAGCAGACTCCTGGAAGCTCAACTCTGTTGGCGAAAGCACGAGTGTTTACCCGGGTTATGGGTTGGCAGCTGAAAGAAAGTGACGCGAAAGTATGTCTAGAAAGGATAGAGCGGTGCAAAAGCACTATACTCCTGGCGTTGACGGCAGGTGAGACGTAGGCTACCCCCACTTCATCACTCATCCCACTCTCAGCTCATCAAGCCTTGTAGAGCTCTGCTCCTTGACATCAGGAAGATGACCATCTCTCTGAACGAGACCACGGCCCATGTGCATGGCAATGTTTCCAAGCTCCTCACTAGGATAGAGAGCGCAGAACTTGGTATGTCTCTTCATAACGTGCAACTTCCAGCAGCTGATGCGCACAGATGATCGATCCCGAGCTCTTACACATTGGCTTGCTCCAGTGACGCCGTGGGAGAGTCATGAAGCAGCCGCTTCTGCAAGGAAATCTGGAACAGGCGGCTGGTTCATCGGGTCGAAGGTGTTTCAAGCCTGGGCTGTCTCTGGCAATGCTGGACTATGGCTGAGCGGCTTTCGTATGTAATATCGTGACATCAGAAGTGGCTGTGCTGACATCTTCGCTTAGCTGGGTCTGGCAAAACTATCCTCTTGTGAGTATGTGTTGAACTCTCGAGTATGCAACGATTAACTTGACCAAAGCGCAAACATCGTCCAGTCTCTCGAGAGTTTACTGCCTTCTTTGCCGCAACCCACATTGGCGGCGTTCTTCTATTGCGACTTCCGCAAGGCCGAAGCACACGACCCCACTAATATTCTAGGCTCTTTGGTCGCGCAGATATGTTCCCAAACCGGAGCCAGCTATGACGAGTTAGAAGCTGCTTTTGATCATAGTCGCCATTCGAACAAACGGCCATCCATGGCCTTGCTGAAAGATATGCTTTGTTTGCTCTCCGCGTCGAGAAGAATCATCTTACTAATCGATGCGATTGACGAATGCGTTCAGCGGAAGGAGTTACTGTCATCCATGGCTTACCTCCAGAGCCTGGGAAAGAACGTCAGTATCTTCCTTACGAGTCGGCATGAGCTCGATATCCAGGATGCACTTGCTTCATTCGAGCTCATTCAGATGGAAGGCTGGACAAGAGAGGTCGATGAAGACATCAAAACGTATATCGACCACAGACTACAAACTGATCGAAGTTTGTTACGACTGAAACCGTCTGTGAGGGATGAGATTAGTGCATGTTTACATGAAAGATCTTGTGGAATGTAAGTGCCTCTTTCATGAACTTGCGTCACATGAAAGTAACAATACAGGTTTCGATTGGTTCAGTGCAGTCTTGATCAAGTATCTGCGCTTCGTACCGTCCGCGATATCCGGACCACTCTCCAGCACCTCCCACAGGAGCTCGGACAGATTTACGAAAGCATACTAATGAGAGTTTCCGCCGCTGATACACCCATCGTTCGCAAAGTCCTACTCTGGCTCTCATTCACGGTGTTGCCAGTCACACTAGAGGAGCTTCATTCTGCTATCGCTATTGAACATGACTGCGAAGAGCTGGATGAAGATTCGTGCCTAAGCAGCGCAGAAGAGATAATTGCTGTTTGCGGCAGTCTGATCACAGTCTCAACGAATGGGCCTGGCCATGTTCGTCTCGCTCACCTTTCTGTGAAAGACTATCTGCTTTCACAAGACATTCGCAACGGCCCTGCGACAGGCTTTGCGCTCAATCGAACAGCAAGCTATCGCGAACTTGCTTTGGACTGCCTTACCTATCTCTCTTTCCGGAGCTTTCAGAGCGGCCCTTCAACATCTAAGGACGATTTCGCTGCACGCTTGGAACACTACGCTTTCCTACGCCATGCGACCACATCCTGGACATACTATCTACGGGCAGCTGAAACTCCAGAGAAAGCATCAATCCAGCATGAAGAAAAGGTTCTTGCGTTCTTTTCTCCGTCCAATCACGAAGCGTTCATGTCCTGGATCCAAACTTTGAACGCCGGGTCTTCCTCGGCCGGCAGTAGTTGGTCTTCATACCCAAAGCATGCAACCGCTTTGTACTATGCAGCATCTTTCGGGTTGCTCCACGTATGTCAGCATATCATCCACCAAGGAGTAGACTTGAACGTCCCAGGAAGTCGATACGGAGGTACTGCGCTGCATGGAGCCGTGTGTCGTGATCAACTGTCGGTCATTCGCGCACTATTAGAGGCGGGTGCGGACGTCAACAAATGCGATTTTGACAATGTTAGTCCACTGCATACTGCTTCAGCAGAAGGCTATGTGGACTGTGTCAAGCTGCTGCTCCATTATGGGGCGAACAAAGATGCGCTTGACAGGGGTGGAGAGAAGCCCATTGATTGGGCTAGGAATGCGGAGCAAGATGACTGTCGGGATGTACTCGATGCAAATCTTGTAGAGATTGCAGAGCCCGTAGCTGGTGCGGATGAGGCGAAGATGTGGACTGGATGGAAGGGGACGTACGTTCCTGTTTGGTCGTCGCGAGTATAATGTCTCCGCTGCGCAAAACCCTAGATAGGCCATCTCGAATCATACTTGAAGTGTCGCTTGCGAGATCATCTCTGTTGGTCATTTCTTTTGGTCATGAAGCGGACGGAGAAATCGTGATATTTTGATAAATGCATATGATGCGAGAGCCTTTTGAAACGCGTCACTCAGGCTGCGTATCACATTTGGTCATAAACCACATGAAACTCCTTTTGCACCCTCACACCCCCTAGCGAGCCTGCGATGTCTTCTCTAGTCAAGCCCTCCCTAGAGCTCGATAACGATGTCGCTGCTGATCGACTCTGCTCCACATTCCTGTGTGTAGCGTCGTCCTTCCCGGAGTATACGATTGTGGATAGCTCAATGCCGTGCTGATGACGAAGAGGCTCTTCAGAGATGCTAGGCGTTCTGTTGACACTCCCGGTGAAACGGTTGCATAATGAGTTCCAAGCTTTATCGGAGGTCCGCCCCACTTTCAAGTCGTCCTGAGTGGTTTTGGCGGCGCTGCTTCTACCCTTGGACGTCGTCCGTATACCACCCCGACTTGCTCCCATATGCGTGCTCATACCGCCGATTTGTAGATGCGAGAGGAAGGTCTGGATACGAGGTAGTGTAGCGTGATTGATCGAAAGGTGAACAACGATTTGATCCATTACGGCCCATCTCAATTGCGATCCTGGGATGTGATTAGCGATATGCTCTGATGAGAACATGGCTCCTTACGTGTTTGATCCTCTAGCTGAAGAGCTTTGTGAATGACTACCATTCGTCCAATATCCACGACGCAAATGAGTAAACGCGATCCGAACAGCCAAAATACAATGGATTTGGTATGGGCTTTCATTTGAACACCCCGGATAAGTGGAAAGATCCAGAAAGCAAGCACAGTGTCGCTTAATATGTTAAAGATCGTGATCGGATAGTACACGTTGCCATGTGTAGAGCAATTCTTCGGACTAAGTATCCAAGGTTGTGGTAGCTGGCATTGGAAGGCGATCAGAAAGAGAGAGAGTAGTGTGTAGACAGCGACCATAGGTATAAGCCATCTGGTAGCTTGAGGCCCGACTTGTTTTGGAGCGATGCGTTGGAACAGAACAACGAGCGATAGTTTAGCGAGAGCGAGAGCGATGACACCCGAGATTTGTGCGGTCCAAAAAAGCTATAAGTATATGTTTAGTAAAGTCCGCAGCCCCTAATACAACTGTTTACCTTGAAGTAATGAGCCATTTGCTTGTCATCAAGCGTATCCTGGTGTCTGCCCAGGCCTGCTCGGACGCAGAAGTGAGACAGGATGGACGTGAAGACACCAAAACACTGAGCTTGATTAGCAAAGTGAGTACAGGAAGTTGAGACATGAATTCTTACAAGTCCTGCACCAAACACGATGTCATCAGACTCGAGCTGATGGAACTTTTGCCGCCGCATTGCCATGCGGACAGTTGCGATGAGGATACTTGTAACTGGAAGAACGATGGAGACAATCGTGTTGATTGGGCCATGGTCTTCGGCCGTGAGTGCGGCTATGGGTTGAATAGTGCCAGCCATGATAGAGCGACGAAGTAGTGTTGGAGTTGGCACGACAGAAACGCTGACGTCTAGGATCACTCATACTAAATGTCCTTCCTCACGACCAGCTCACTGGGTTCATTCGGGCGTTCATTCGTGCAGGCACGGCAGGAGCAAAATCCTTCTCGCTGATAGCCAACATAGGAGTTGGCGGGCAGTACCCTGCTCGCATAAAACAGGTGCCTATGATAAGAGAGTCGCCGCCGCTCTTAGGAGCCTCATCTCATACGCGACTATGAGGCGCAGTAGGAATGATATTGCTCAGAGCCCGTGCCGACTTCGATGATCACGTCAGAGAGACTTATAAGGGACATGGCGGTAGGCGGTGTCGCCTGCGAGATAATCCCTCGAGGCCTCATCTCTGTTCCTTCCTTTATACTGCGTGATAGCTGTCAGAGGTCAATTAGCCGAGGCGTAAAGTATATGATGCTACTCAAAGCAAACTTACTGTATGGCTTGCACAAGAGTATCATGGACGATGCAAAGGTCTCAGTAAGGCCATAGATGCCCACTTACGCGGCCTACCAGGGTGGGCGTGATGGCGAAAGGCAGGTCGCATGGCTCGAGTGTGACTTGGGTGTGCATCCACAGGAACCGAGCGGCTGGGTGCCCGCCGCCGCGCACGGCCTGAAGCGAGGTTGATGAAAGCAGTAGAGTACCGTCAACGTAGGAAAAGATTGAACAGGTCTGCAGCCTACATTAACATCCATGAGTGAGAACATGCGAAGTAGGCGACCTGACTTCGATGTAGACTCCAAACCTGTTCATGTACACATCCTAAATTCCTTGCGATGCGAGAAGTGATGAATGAAGCTCGAGCGCGAAGCCCGGAAGGAAGGTGGAGTGATGATTGAAGCGACGGCGAAGAGCGGTTAGCGGTAATACTGCGCCAAGACCCCAATGAGGTTAAAGGCCCGGGCTAATTTCCATCAAGACCTCGGGAGGGTCAGGCCCGTGCCGTTGCTGTTCCCCCACCCGCACGGCAATGCTTCTTTTACGCCGCCTCAGATCCGAAGAAGACAAAGAGCTGCGAGCCGCAGCTACTAACGCCATTTGATAATGAGATTCCGTGTCTGTCGACAGGCGAGCTGCTGTACCGCGCGCGCAAAAACACCAATCCTTCAATTAGTGCTCTGCTACCTAGGCATCTCTTACACTGATAGAGTGCGATTGTCGAGCCTCAATACTACCTAGGTGCTATCGGCTAGCAATCTATATGTTGCAAGGAGAGAATGGGGAGGGCTGTTAAGAGGGGACCTGGAAGTAAAGAACCCTGTCAGTGCACATCCAAGGTAACATTCGCACGCAGCTTCTACCCCAACGAACTGTTTTAGACACCTCGCGTCGACGCAGACTTGCGGCGTAGGCATCCTGCGATCCCCACTGTCTCTTTGGCGACCGGCTGGGTCTGCTTCTGGAGCTTGACTAAATGAGTCAAGTTGGAATCCTGAGATACGCCCGGGCATGGGACGTAAACAGGAAGTATACTGCAGCTCGCTTCGAAGATGTCAGGATCTATGCCGCTCAACAAGAGGTCGGCTCTAATGGTCGTCTGTGGTCAGCCCCAGGATAAAACCTCCGAACCCCATGTCCAGTGAAATCCCTTACCACTCACAATGCTTCGTACTTTCACGGTTTCCCACGACCACGACGCATCTCTACGACCATCTCCTCGTTCCATCGATATGGACAAGGATGAGGCGCTTGTCACGACAACCGTTCCAGATTATCACGATGGACTATGGGAGAAGACGGAGAGACGCAAGGATGACACTCTCCCCTCTGGTTCCTCAAGTAGTGGCGGGTTCCAAGTAAGTCCCACCGATTCATTGCTCAAAGATTGGCCAGCTAATTTCTCTCTCAGCGCTACATAAACCAACTCGCCATCAACAACTTTGGCTTCACACTCCAAGTAGCATGGGAAGCTGTTGGCTTGTCATTCCAGCTTGCATGGCTCAATGGTGGCCCTGCCGCGCTTGTCTGGGGGTCTATGATCGCTGGCGTCGGCTCTACCCTCGTTGCTACAGCTTTGGGGGAGATGGCCTCCATGGACCCCACCGTAGGTGCACAGTACAGATGGTCGGCGCGCTTCGCTTCATTCGCTCCCGAGTTCTGGGGGTTTATTCAGGGCTGGATCACAGTCATTGCCTGGATTTGCAGCTGTGCCGGCGCCTTCTCCTTCATGTCGAATACTTTATCCGGCTTGATCATCTTTAACAGCCCAAGCTACGAACCAAAGGCCTGGCACTCGACAGTGTTTCTGATCGCCTTCCTCATTGTTCCGCTGGTCCTCAATCTCTACTTGCGAAAGATCATCAACTATCTGGAAACGATCGGTGGTATTTTCCATGTTGTCTTCTTCGTTGCTATCGTTGCGACACTCTGCACGCTTGCGAAGCGCAGTACACCCGAATACGTCTTCATGACCTTGCACACAGACGCCGGTTGGGAAAATCCCGGTGTCGCGTTCTCTATTGGCATGCTCGCTGTAGCATATCCTATCAGCAGTTTTGATGGTGTCCTCCACATGAGTAAGTTGCGCAACCCAACTCAACTTCCAATCCCAGTGCTAACATAGTCCACAGTCGAGGAGACCAAAGAACCTCGCAAGCGGGTACCCAAAGCTATGATCTTGGCAACCTCTCTGAACGCAATCATGATGATCGCCTTCTGTATCTGCCTGATGTTCTGCATTGGTGATGAAGAAGCCGTCGCGAAATCGATTTTGCCGATTACGGAGGTCTTCTACTCGGCGTAAGTGCACCACCCGGGAGGTGACGCAGGTTCAATACTAACATACTGCAAAAGCACAGGGTCTAAGGCAGCATCAACGGCAATGACAGTTTTGATGGGGCTTCAACTCATGGTTGGCAACTTTAACATCGTTGCATCCGTGGCTCGATTAGTCTGGCGATTCGCATCCGACAAAGGTCTTCCTTTTCACCAGCACTTCACCTACGTGAGTCTTGACCATGCCCATGGTGATCGACTGAAACTGACAAAGCTCTAGATCCATCCGACGCTCCAAGTTCCAGTACCCGCACTCTTTCTAGTTGGCTTCATCTGCTGCCTTCTATCACTCATCAACCTCGGTTCCGCAGCCGCCTTCAATTCGCTCATATCCCTCCCCACCATCGCGCTATACGTATCATACCTCGTCCCAATCTCGCTATTCACGGCTCGTCAGCTTGCCGGTAAACACCCGAAGTACGGGCCCTTTCAATTGGGCAGATGGAGCATTCCGATCAAGCTCTGCGCCATTGTCTACTTGGTATACGTTATCATCTTTGTATCGTTCCCAGCATCAAGACCGGTGACAAGCTTGACAATGAACTATGCGCCACCGATTCTTATTGGATTCATGGTCATTGCGATGGTGGATTGGTTTGTCAGGGGTCGCAAGAAGTTTGAGGTACCTACAGCCGCACTCGAACACGCGGAGGAAGAGAGGCCGTAGGTGAGTTGATTCGAGTCTGCATGTTGATACGATATCAAGTTTCGGCTTCATGTATGTGTGCTCCATAGCAGAAGCATCTTCGTTGGCGTGTTTCGTTAGGTCTTACAAGATAGTAGGTTCGCCAGGCGACACGCTACTGCTTCATCGAATGAGCGCAGCAACTAGGTTGTCTGGTACGAACAATGGGGGTTCTTGGAGATGCGATACTTCTCTCTTTCCGGTACGAACAATGGAAAAACACTTCACCATCTGAATGGCAGAGATTCTCACCAAAACCCTGCACATGTAAGCCCAGGCGAATCAATACGAAAAGAACCATTCTGGACTGAGATTGAAGGCCTATCGAATGCGAAATTTGGTCAACACAAGCACTTGAGATGCACTTGAGATGGGATGCAAGCATCACCCATTAAGGAGTTGTAATCAATATGTATGTTGCTCTATCGTACTCTTGATAGTAATCACGACTTGGCTTTAACCACTGCCGAGGATGTACAGCACCTGCACCACAAGAGTACCTCTACACTCCTCAACCCAACCTCCAACCACCGTCCACAGGCCTCAAAGAGACCTTCATTTCCTTCGTACGAACTTCCATATCACTCTTCTTCCACAGAGCCTCACTTCCCCGCGCCTCTTCTTGCAAGCCACCAAGTAGCACTGCCAGGCTTGAAGATTTCCAGACACCATAGCGCCGACCGCGTTCCCCGCTTCGCCATGTTTTCCAAATGGTCGTGGCAAGGAATATCATTGTGAAAGCGATCAAGCTTACGGGAAAAGTTATCCAGGCCCACCGAACTTGAACACACGTATTTGTCTCCGTGACAGTGCCTTTAGCGAAGCCATACTTTGGATCTTTGGATGCCCCGATCCGTCGTGTCTGCTTGGTCATCGCTTTCGCTATCTGGCTAGTATATGCCTCGATTGTGGTGAGATTAGACTGCCCGTTGTGGTAGAGACTTTTGAGCCAGGCTTCACCTGTAAGTACGGAAAGTTGCTCGTCACCACTGAACAAAGTCTGATTTTGGTACATTCGTTTGAATGTTTGACGGACCGCGTTAACTGCACCGTAATCGATATTCCAGACACAGTCCCGTGCATACCATGTCGTCTTGTTGAAGAAGACTGGTCTATCCGGGGTTTCCACACTCGATCCGGAGCATGGCTCCCAGAATCCGTCACGTAGCACCTGAGTGGGTATTGCGTTCCAATGGTCGTACCAATACCTGGATCCGTCTGCGTGGTAATTAAGGGGCTCGGAATTCACGGTGGTCTCGTACAACTTTGCCGATTCGATGCGCGATTTGATAGTGAGAATAGCCGGCCAGATCCCGCATTCAACGGCCAGCGGCATGTAAGTCAACGTTTGACAATAGGTTCCCTTGCAGTCACTTCTATCGACGTTGTACATTAACACCATGAAGCTCACAATTGGGAGTTCGTTTTGCTTGGTCGTCCAATATTCCGGGAAATATATCCTGCCGGGTTCACCCATCGTAGCTGCTAGCCTTGTTATACCAAAGAAGCGATAGATGGTATCTGCACTAAACTCCTCATACCAATCGTCTTCCGAATTTGCCGATTTTATGGTCTCGTTAGCGGCAGTTCTGGGGATATACCAAGAGGTGGCCCGGCTATCCGAAGATTTTTTCATTCGAACTTCCTTAGAGACATCAACACACGCAGACTCGAAGCCGAGAGTCTGATAGGTTACGTCTGGATTTGCTTTCTGTGTGAATGTACAATTGCCTGTAAGGCATTGCACATCGATCGGCCGATCACCCTCGATGAGATCAGTGTATATACTGGCCAGCATGCTTATCTCCAGGACTCGGGCGTCGTAGGTGGTCTCATCCAAGCCAGTCAGATTGCTTGCACGAGGAACTCTTCCTAGAATCCCAATCACAGCTCTATCACAGACTACAGGACGAATGATCTGTTGTGTGAAAGGATCGATGGCTAGTGCAAGCAAGGTGATCCATGCGCCAAGTACAGCGATATGTCTAGAAGTCGGCAATCAGATATGTCCAAGACGAGAGTAACAATCAAGACATACCGGTGTTTTAACCGAAAGAGGAGTAGCAATGATCCCCAAGGCCCACGACTTGCAAGGTCAAAATCTTCGAAGTCGATTAAGCGGCGTGCTTTTGAGTACCACAGCCACTTCCACTGGCTAATGCCTTGATTAAATTAATGTTTGGGTAGACAAGTCTTAAATTCAGACTACTCACATTCCGCTACTGGTAGCAAAAGCGAAGACTTTACGACTCCAGCAATGATAGCAACTAACGTATTGATTGAGATCTTGAGCGGCATCTCTGTTATAACACGTCCATCAAAGTACCGAAGCGTCGCCACGAGAGAAGCCATCGCAACGATAGACAATGCGCAGCTCATCAGTTCTGCTGCCCAACCATTAACCCATCGTGAGTGCAATCGGCGGAATTTCGAGCGCGCTGCGGATGTGGTGGATGGACGACTGCCTGGAGATTCTTTGGCTCGTTCAGCCTTGTCACAAGGCCCTTCATCAGAGATGCTGACGGCAGTATAAGCATGGCGGTTAAGTTTCAGGTCTGACGTGACTGGGAGGCGTTCGACCGAGTGATCCCCGCTGGCATCACTTCTGGCAGATGCAAAGGAAGACATGTTGCGATGAGAGAAGAATCAGGGTGTGCGAGCGGGGACGGCAGGCCATTAAAGGGCGCACCGAGCCGCATTCTCTTGGGTGGCAGTGCGCCTCGCACTGTGTGGGGGCCACGATTGAAGACCATCGAGTGGATGTGGCGTCAAGCCGTAATGCGCAGCCTATCCAACTGAAAATTGTCGAAGCCGTGTCGACATCAGCCCCGTAGGATTGGGTTGCATCGCCGCGAATACCTACTCTGGTCAGCTCGAAAAACTTCAACGCACGGTACCTAGGTGTAGATGAATGCACCCTCTATTCAGAACTTTCTCGTCTCGAGCGACTTGTCAAATTCGCATGGGTAGTTGCTTTTTCCATCCTTGTAGGCGAAGCCCTACCAGACCTCGGGATGGTTACAACCTTGGAGCCTCTCAGCCTTGTGGGTTATCATCAGGAATAACGGTCGCAGAAATAGTCGGAATACTGGAAAAAAGAAGCTAGGGTACTTGAGATATACTGCGAACTATCCAGGCTCTTTCCTGGAGTTCGTGTGCGAATTCGTGATGTATGTATAGATCATATGGTTGGGTGTGCGGGCCTTCCCCGCGATGCCGATCTGCGGGCCCAGCTGCGCCTCATGCTCCTCCATCCGTCTTATGGGCACATGGATGCAGCCCATGAGCCCAGACGTTGCGATTATCTGCCTCAAGTTGCGAGTCTGATGACACATTGGTTCGCCTGCTCATACGGTGTTGCACGGGATCAAGTCCCCGCTTGACCCGGTAGACTCTCTGAGTAGCCTTACACAATAGTGTCTGCTGAAAGGCCGATCACTAAGGACAGTCCATATTCACAACGTCCTTTAGCACATTGTTAATAGGCAAGACCCGGTCTATTACGATGTCTAAACGATTTCGAACCCTGAACGCCTTCGCAATGCTATGGTTCCTCATCAAACCCTTTTCTAGCTAGCTGCACTTCGTCATCATGCCGTTTCAGACTGGGAAAGCAGCAGTGTTCTCACACCCGATGAGCATTGCGCCCAAAAGACACCTTGGCTAGCATACCAGCCAAAGGTCTCTCTTTGTAGCCTTAAGCAAGATACGAAAACAACATCGCCACTAAGCTGAGAGCAAGGGTAGCCGGTGCAGCACCCATCGCCGACGCACCAGAAGCCTCAGGAACGTTGTTCGTAGCCGCACCGCCCATGTACCACGATCCAATATCCGTCAACTCGCCGTCTTGGGTAAGCATAGCAGCGTTGGCGCCCACGTTGCTAACATCCGATCGGAAAGCGCCGAAGTAGGAGTAGTGCGTGATGTTTCTGGGTATAATGTCAGTACATGTTCGTTTTCCTGAAGACATTCAAGACGAGTACTCACGGCCAGCTATCAAAGCTCTGCGCACTCATATTATAAAAACTCTGCGTCTCCTCAAGCGGCTGATTCGGGTACCCATACTCCGTAACCCACACCGTCATGTTCGGCCACATCGTCGTAACGCGTCCAATATGGCTCATCATACCCTCGAAGTTGCCATACCAGTGCACAGGGATGAAGTCGGGATTACATCCGCCGTCGCACTCGTTGAAGAAGTTCTCCAACCACTGCCAACCGGACTCTGCGCCTGTGACACCCGGTGCGCCTAGCTTGATGCCGAGTTCCTTGAGGGGCTCGATTTCGGCTTTCCAGCGCGCGGCTGCGGTGGTGACGGCGAGGTTGGAACCGCCGGTGCTGTGGCCGCCGTCAGGTTCGTTGAAGCCTAGCACGGCGGTTATGTTTGCTCCGTCCTTGATCTGCTGCTTTACGGAGTCGAGGAATGGGGTGCCGGTATCGCTGTCGCTAGCGCCCCAGAGCATAGGGACGAATTGCATGTCTGGGTTATCTTTGTAGGCAGACGAGGGGTCTTTTTGGTAGTTGTAGTACCATGTTGGAGGAGATGGACCCGTTGTCCAGATCTTATCGTCGTCGGGGTGGTCATCGGAGGGGACGTAGACTAGGCCGCGTTTTGACGATTTTGAGGCCGTGGATTGTGCGGTTGTGGAGGATGTGCTCGTGAGCAGCACCGTTGCGGCGCTGAGAAGCGCGGTTCGTCGCATCTTTGCTGTGAGGTTTGTGTGGTGAAGTACTCTCGGATGTAGCGATGTATGAAATCCGACTTTTTTGGAAGTGGATCTGGGTGTTCGGTACCAGCGATACGAAGATAGGCCGCGAAGGGGTCCGTTGCTGATTGTTTGGTCGCCGTGCGATTGGATGTCGTCACTCAGGGAAGCCCCAAGATACCTCTTTTCTCGTGGTGATGCGCAAAGACAACGTAGATGACACCAGGCGATCAAGTAGGTAACAAGGCAAGAGTACCTTCCAGGGAATTTCCAACTCTTCTAGCCAGCTCAGCCACGGAAAAAAATCCAAAGCTGTCAGGAGAAACTTCAGAAGCGAGTCGTTACGCAAGCCACAAAAGCGCCTTTGCAACCGGGCCAAGGCGAGACAAATAACAAGCCGGGTATCGTACACAAGTCCAGAAGTCCGGGAAAAGAGAACGGGAGACGAACGATCAGCTACACAGCGAGGGTCCTTCTTCCCAAATAGATACCCGTACGAGTCAAAAAATTGTTAGCTTCCAACGCCGTCAAACGTCACGAACTCAGGTACTTCAGAAAAAAGATGCCTAGGTGCGCTACGAGGCTGGAGATAACAGTATAACCCCACCGCCCACCCACGCTACACCTGCACCATGGCTGTTAGCATCTATCGAAAAGAGATAAACCGGCATCTTGGGAGCCGGCTAGATTGCTGCCGCGCCGCTCAGAAAAGCGTAGTGGCGTTGTGCTAGGTAGGTTTTGGAACTTGTGGTGACGCCTGCCGTGACGCAGGTACAAGCGCCCCATAAGCCCGCGCCACAAAAGGGGACAAGGCACGACCCAAAGTAAATTCTCGGGAGATCGACTTTGCCGGAGGCGTTCGGCGGGAAAAGCGTGGTTTTTAGGTGGGACGAGGGTGATGGAATGAGGATTTACATCGAGCGATCTGAGGGATCGGCAGGTACAAATCTGCGTCGGGCTGTCGAGAGTTTTCCGTCGTTCTCTTCGTTCAGATGCTACATGTCGCAGTCCAGGCAAGGTACGTCGCTAGGATGTATTGGTTCAGGGGTGGCGCATGCGAAGTGTGTCCCAACATTTTGGGGCTGCAGCGAGTGTTCAGCTGGCCGGCTGGGTAGCTCTCTGCCTGCAGGGCTTATCGGCGAAAGTTGAGATCGCACGTGCTCTGGACGATTCTAGGCCAGGTGCCGCCGAGCCGCGTGTAGTAAGATCTCAAGACATGGCATTCTCTAGGCAGGCATCACTCACAACCACAGAGGTACATGAAACAGCGATATAACAGTTGGGTATTGGTATTTACATCTTTCGCTACATCCTAGTTCACATTGCCGTTCCCATTCCATTTCCAACTCCCCTCACTCCATCCCTTTTCCAACCTTCTTCTCTCCTTCACTCCGCCTTGACGATATAGCAGAAAAGATAGTGGTATGTGTGCGCGAGCCCCAGGCTTACCGCTTTGCATGAGATTACAAGAGCTTGTATCAGATCTTTCTTTACACAAAAAAACTCGATGAACACAAGGAAAGATTCGTAAATACACAGACGTGGAGCGCAGGTATGGCCCGGTCCGTGTGCGGGAGATAGATGACTGAGGATATGGTTTGACCGCTCTATGGTTTGTCAAATGCGACCACCGCGATGCAGACATAGGAACAAAACAAATAGGAGATTATGCCTAGATGGCGAGATGTTTCGCTTCTTTAGGTCTTCGCTCTTGGATGACTCAAAAGGTTGTTGGCTTAGTAGGCATAGGGGCCAGGAGGGCCTCGTGGTTGTTGAGGCTGCCATGGCGCGTTGGCCACGTAGCCGGGTGGTTGGTGGAAGCCAACATCCGCCTCGCGCCCCGGACTGCTCTCGCGACTCAAGTTCCGCTCATGCGTTGCTGTGCGACCGAATGTGGATGCATCCGCGAGCAAGTGCCCTTGGTCGTCTCCGAATGAACGACCACCGGAACCGTTGTATGCGGTGTTCTGATCCGCGAGAGGAACGCGGTCGTAGCCGGCGGTGCGGGGACCGAACGGCGATGGAAGCGAGGTTCGCTTGTACTCTTGGGGGTCCATGAGTAGCGAGTTGCGTGCGTCGAGAGGAGTAAGGGTGTCGAGGTCACGAGCTTTCTCTGCAGGGGCTGTTAGATGGTGTTGGCAAGCAGGGGGTGGAGAAGACTTACCAGCTGCCTTTCTTTTCTTGCGGTGAGGGTTCTCCTTGCAGCAGATGATGATCGCGTTGACCGCGATGAGGATAGCAAGAACACCAGTGAGGGAAGCCTGTACAACGACAAGGACTAGACCGGTGACGGTCTTAGTGGTCTGGCTCATGCCAAGTTCTTCGACGAAGACCAAAATGCAGACGACCGACAAGACGCGAACGACCGAGATGGTAATATTGATCCAGGTGCTAGACTTGAGCGTGTACGGACGAGCCCAGAGAAGCATGACAAGGAGAAGCGACTCGACGATGAGTTGACCAGCAGCCTGTGCGAGACCGTGGCCATCTGCTCCTGCGATAACGCAACCACGAGCGAACATGAAGATAATGGCCGGTACGAAGATCCACCAGTAGCTCTTCTTGTAGTTCTCGTAGAACATGCTGTACTTGCGCCAAATCTCTTTATCCTCGTAGAGAGCGTCCGGCTTTCCCTCCATCTTCTTGAACTTGTCCGCAGTGCTCCAGATCTTCCAGGTAAAGAATGCCAAGACTCCGGTGAATGCAGCTAGAGTGACACCAGCGAGTGTTTTGACAGCCCACGAGTCTCCATTCTTGAATTGATAGACACAGTATAGAACCCAGATACCGTAGAGCAGGAGGATCAAGTTGGTAATCGTCTTGGCCAGAGTCCACCAGTATCGCTTACGGAAGCTGGTCAGTTTCTTGGGGAAGCTGCCAAATAGTGCCCATGTCTCCAGAATGACCTTGAAAAGGAGGATACCAACGGTGATGGCAGCGATAATGATGGCGAAGATGAGTAGTACTGTCATGAAGGCGTTACGATCGGGGATGGTGTACTCCTGGATGAAGCCCTGCATGTCCTTCGCGTAGACAATGACCTTGTTGTCACCTCCCTCTTCGGCAGTATCGTTGACGTTCGTGTTCAATTCGTCGCGAGCGAACAGGACGTCAAAGCTGCGCTTGGTCAAGGTCATGTTCTGGTCCACGTGTACGAGGGTAGCGTTCTTGAGAAATTCGACACTGCTCTGGGTGAGGTTGCCGCCGGTGCTCTTACGGAAGTTGTCAATGGAGTGCTGCATTCCCTCCCAGTAGATGAGACCGGTGCTAAAGGCAAAGTTCTGGGACCAGCTGCGGTATACACCAGGGACGTCAGCGCTCATCATGCCGTTCAAAGCCATGGCCTGAAACCATCCGATGACATCGCCGAAGGTAGGACTGGATTGTGCCGCACCAGGGTGTCCAGCGCCAGCGAGCGAAGCCAGACCAGTAACAGCTAAGGCAGCTCCAGCAATTCCAGCGGCGATGTATTGTACTCCTGCGGTGGAAAGTGATTGTCCGTTGCTGACTTGAGAGGTAATACAGGCCAGGTCCTTGCCTCCATCTTTGGCCTTGAGCTGCATCCTGGCTTGACTGTCGATGTCGGGAATGTTGAAGGCGATGCTGGGGATTTGGGACATGATGCTGTCGGGGATACTCTGCTCGCCCTGTGCACCGAAAGTACCCTTGGGAACTGCTACATGTTAGCTTGTACATTATGCGCATATCATCGCTGTGCGTACCTGGACATAGCTGGTCGACCTTGTATTCGCCATCGCAAGGGTCAAACTCTTTGTTGTACAATTCTCTGCCGTATGCGTTTACGGTAAGGATTGCCATAACCTTCTGCTCAACTTCGTTGGTGCCGGACACATCGAATTTGACCTTCTTAATGGAGCGGTCGAACTCGATATTCAGCTTGTTGACCTTGATGTCTCCTGTGCCTTCCAGACAGGAGCTGAAACCGTTGGTCTTGAGAATGTCGGCAGCCAGTACGCTCAGTGGCGCCGATGCCAGTAATATAAAAGGTGCGAGCATGGCCGAGTATGTCGCGTGGGGCCTCATTATTGGTGTTATGCGCCCGGGGGCGTTCTCGGGGTGCGGGTGTCGACAGCGAGCGACGGTCGCAGCAGCGAAGGGTCGGGCGACGTTGGTATGCGCGGGTGCTTGCTGACAAAAGCGAGTGTAGCAAAAGAAACAAGCAGTAGATTAAACGGGGGTCGGCCGCAGGTTCAACCTTTCTCGTGCCTGATGGGAAGCGGTAAACAAAGGCAAGCGTCCAGAGGGAAGGCGCGTCGAGGGAGCGGCGAGCCAGGAAGAGGGTTTGGGGTCTAGTCGGCAGGTACGAGGGACGCAAAAGTGAAACGACTGACGAACGAGGGAGCGATGTGGTTGAAATGAGGACGAGGCGCTGAAGCCGGTAATCTGCCTCTCTTCTGAAACCGTGCGGCGACAGCCAAGGGGGTTCACTCCAATCAGGAAGGGACGCGCGGCGCTAGCCTCGATTAATTCCGCGATGGCGCAGTCGCTGGATCCGACGCTATCGAAGGATGATGGTTGTTGGGCCGCGTTCGAGAACACGATGGGATGCAGATGGGGTTGACGTTGGGGAGCTGTCAGGGACTGTTGCGCGAGCTGGGGAAGGAATGCTTTTTATCGCTAGGTCATCACTATCTGCTGCTACTGCGAGACACGCTGCCCTCACACGCCAATACACCACTACTGTCGTATACTGGCAGCTGAAGACTGCTACCGTGCAAGGCGGGCCTATCAAACTACCCCGGTCCGCTCGAGACCGTTGCCGTCGCCAAGTCAACCATCGTGTCATCGATGCGGAGTTGGAGAACCACCAGAAGCTTCAAGCCGTGCACAAAGAGCTTATCTCGCCATCATCATCTCTTGTGCACACAAAATCATAGGAGTTCATCATCATCAAATTCACTTTGGTAGCCTACGCCGATGACCCCATGGACGGCGCCAGCGTGGCTGTGCAACACCCCAGGGTAGTAAAAATAGATGCTCGGCCACTAGGTGAGAATTTGAACACTGCAGCTGCCCAAAGAGACCAAGTGCTGCATCGAGGGATGACGTTCCCTCGTATACTGTAGGCCCGAAATACTTTTGTTGTGGTTCAACAGTCTGCATCTGTCTTTGTTGTGATGACGGTACCCCTTTGAAAGGAGACAAACGTGCTGCAGTCAGAAGAGGAGCTATTCTACACCTTCTGTCTTTGTGTTTGTGCTATGCGATCGGCGTCTGGTAGTTGCGCGGTCTAGAAACCTTGAGGGCTTCGAGACCTCGAGAGCTGCGTGATTAAGCCGATCACTAGCCCCAGCACCCGCCAGCCGTCACATCAGCCGTGGCCAGGCGCCCTCGTCATCTGCACAGTGAGACCACCAAGACCTACACAACAGCCACCACGGTTGCGCGCCACACTACAGCCAAGTGCAAACCTCACGAAGAGACGTCTTCACTGCTTTCATCGTCGATTCATTTCCCTGCTATCTTTCCCATGCAGGTTCGGGGGCCTAACCATCCGCCCATGTTGGTGCAATCTCACGTGCAATTTCATACGCCCGCCAGTATCGCTCCTTCACTACCTGGGTATAGCGCTCTGGATTATACCTCTCATCTCCGTTCCGTCGGTCGCAACAGATCGAGGTGATCTGTGATGATAGTGCACTCTGGTACCGATGACCGTCAACTGAGGTGCATCCTGTCACGTGAGCTAGCGACCGAGGTCGTGCCTTCCTTTTACTGATCACACCCTGCTGCTCCGCATCTACACGCGCTATCCTCTACAACTACTCAGTTACCGCGATCTTTGATAAGGCAAAAGTCTGAAGCTTCATCTCGTCAAGTGCCTACAGTGGCACAAACCCAGCTGGAAGCTTCTTCCCCTCAACCCACGCTACAACAGTCTCCGCCCAAAGCCGAGGATTCTGCCTATTCCAAGGATGCCTCATATCCGGATGCGTATAAGCAAGAGTCAAAGTGTTGTTCTCTTTTCCAATCTTGACGAGTTTGCGAGCAGCCTCCGGGCTATCGCTAGATGGAACCACCCCACCCTTCCCAGCGACAATGATCAGGGTTCGTGCAGACCATGGGTGCAGTTGCGCTGCTGCGCTGTCGGTTTGCGCGATCTGTGTGCAAAGCGATAACGAAGGACTATTTGTGCGGCGGAGATCGGTACCATCCATGAGCCAGCGAATCCAAGGTCGTGGGACAGCGTTTTCCATGCGGTTTGAGGCCCAGAGCAGGTAAGGTGGTAGCGGAGCTTTTGAGACAGGCGCTTCGCTGTATCCAGAGATAAACATCAATTCGACGACATGAGGATAGTTGGCAGCAAGACAGACTGCGATCGAGGTACCGAGACTATGGCCAACAATATGGGCTCGACCGCCGGTAGCTTCCATCTCTATCAGATGCGCGATGCGCTGTGCAGAGATCTCGACGGAAAATGGTATGTGCGACGAGTGACCATGTCCAAGACAGTCTGGGAGAAGAAGATGGTAGTCATGGATGTAGGGTACCACCAGTTCCCAGTCGTGAGCGTCTACAAAAGCACCGTGTATGAACAGAATGGTTGGTTCGCTGTCCTTGTTAACAGACAAGTGCCAGAGGAGGGCGTTGGGGTCATCCTGTGCGACTCCTTGTGTCTGTGGTGTGGCCATTCGTCGCCTAGTTTCGCACAACAGCTTAGGTCAAATGTTAACGGCAGAAGCAGGGAGAGGGACATCGCCTTCGATACCAGCAAGTCGCAGCTGCGGAAGATGCTGCGAGGCGTTTTGAAGACCAATGATGCAGATTCCACTCAGTATGCAGTAAGCGCGGGTGGTTCTAGCGCTTACGATCATGGTGCATGATGCGCACCATCACCAGTAAAACCTGTGTTCAATCTTCCTGGCTTTACAATCCGATTTTTTATCTCTGCAACGCCGGCGGCTAATTGACATCGTCTTGAGATCTATACGGATGGCCATTTATAAGACATCCACTTCTCCAGTGTACGATTCCACCCACCACTCCCAAGCTGAATGTGCACAAACATATCCAAATACTGCTTCCAAACAACATCCCGTCCGACCATATACCCCAACTCTTCAAACGTAAAAGTCGCATTCGGATTGACAATGCAGAGCACATCAGGATGCAGCCGGACCTGCAACTCAACCTCGATGATATCGCTAATCATCGCATCGGCATCGCCGTCCATGACAGCTTTGTAAACAGCGTTATTGTCCTGCACCAGAACGATAGTAGCGGCCTTCAAATTCGCGCGATCAAATGCTTCGTTCGTGCCACCCGGATTGACCGCAACTTTGACACCCGCAGTATCAATAGCGTCCAGGGACGAGAACTTTTCTAGATCTGCGCATCGCACGCAGGCTGCCTTACCCACGCGTTGAATCGCAGTAGAAAAGAAGACCTTCTGTGCGCGAGCCAAGGTGATGCTAACGCCGCTCATGGCGACATCGAACTTCTGCGCTACGAGGTCTGTTGTGATGTTCGCCCAGATGGTAGGAACGAACTCAACTGGACGTGGGAGGCCGAGGGAGTTGGAAAGTGACTGCGCCAAGTCGATATCGGCGCCGATGTAGGTCGTGTTAATGACAGGTGTGGTAGGCAGTGCGGTTTGATTTGTTACTTTGTAGGAGAAGGGCTTGTAGTCTCCGGTTGTGCCGACTTTCAGGTAGCCGCGTGTCTGGATTTTGTCGAGAATAGATGTGATGTTGCTGTATGCGGTTGGTGTTGAGTAGCTGTGGGAGATGAGTATGGTGGCCTGCAAAATTGCGGGTATAGCATTACTTGGGAGAGTATTCCGCGTCATACTCGTTGTTTCCACGCGAAGCCGCGGCGAGAGGGTTGATGAGCAAGGAAGCTGCGACGAGCACTGAGGTAGGGTTTACCATTGTGACGAATGTTTTGAACCGTCGCTGTTCAACTCGCAACGGAGATCGTTTAACTGAAGGGAGCTGGCACGTAGTTATACTAATCTCCGATCTTCGCAATCTGGATGCTGACAAGCTCCGCCCAGCCTCCAGTAGATCCTTCATAGTTCGAAATTCGTGCTACCCTGAAGATAGGCACCCGGGTATCGTAACCCGTTAAATAGCAGTTCTACAATTGGGAGAACACACGACTAACTAATAGAATCAGTCATAGGCTCAAGTCTTGATACTTAGCGTCCGCAACGTTTCATCGTACAAACAGTATCTTGGGTCATGTCTTGGCAGGGCTCGAGCGATGACGGGGTGTTGTAATCGGCCGACGAAGGCCCGCTCCAGACTTTGATACGAGATAGACATGGACATTGCTGATTACATGACTGTCCATTCCGGTATCGCACGTGAGCATTGCCTGGGTCTTGGTTTGGCCTGCACTAGCCGCACTAATGAAGGTCTTGATGTCTATCCAACTCCCTTACCTACAGGAAGATATTAGTGTAAGCTACATATAGTTACTGTAGCTCTTGGGCTGTAGCGAGGAATAATCAAGCTGCAAGATTGATTCTCTTCTACCTCGGTATCAATATGAGACTGTGTATCTAACTATCCCCGTCACTCTTCCATATGCTACTGCCTCTCTACTCAGTCCTCCTGCCGCTCTTTGGCCTTTATTTTGAGGATTTCAAGAGCACCCAGTGGATCCCATCTGTATATAGCTCCTTCCGCGGACGATTCAGCGCTGCGTTGTGCATCTTCCAGCCACTGGCTCCACACATCAGTCTTTGGCACGTATTCCCTTGCCCAATCAATCTTTTTCGTGGTGAAGATCGTTGTCCAAAGGCATTGTGTGAAACTTCGGTGTTCAGTGATGTGTGGTGGATCGATTTCCAGATCGATGTGCCATGACAAGTGGAGCGGGAGAATTGCGGCGATCCAGTACAAAAGATTCAAGACCGTATATGTCACAGCGAGTGCTGCTTTCATTGTCCATACGGCATTCCCGAATAGGACGATGGAGCCCACAAGAGTAAGCCCGCCCACGGTACCGCTCAAGCCGCGCCCCGTGAAGGAGCTGACCGCGTAGTCGATGTTGTCAGGATGGAAGTAAAGAAGATGCGCGACCTCTTCATCGCATTCCACAACCGTGAAGCATCCGTTTGGAGATTTGATGACAACGGTACCCGGCGGCGACCCAGCATATCTCTGAATAAGAGTTGGAAACGCTGGCCTCCAACGCATCCCAACACAAAGTAGAGGTGTCGTAAAGCTCATGACCAGGATACCAGTAAGCGCGACTGCATCCCCGAGCACAACAGCCCATGCTGCCAGTCCGAGGCTCAATGCGCAGCTGAAGATAGCAATCATGTTCATTGGTGAGAACAATTTTGGTCGAATTGGGGTCCCTCTGAGAGTTTCATCTATGTTCTTGGGATTCCACCGTATCTTCACTACACGTGTCGTGAATGGTGGTAGCTCAGACCCACCCGTGTGTAACATTCGACCAATGTACGATAAACCCGGCCTTTCATTATTTGAATGAACGCTTTTCACCGGCACATCATCCTCAGAATCAAGTTTCTTCGGTCGTTGAGCGAGGAGACCCTGAGGCGCCGGTATCAGTCGTGGTAGGAAGCACGTCCAGGACATGCAGATCTGCTGGCTGCAAGCTATGATGTTATGCTCGCCCAAGAAGGCTAAGATGTTGACGACGTCGAGGCTCCAGTCATCGCGCAATTTGGGGTAAGTGATATCGATCATGTTGTATGCTGCTTGTAATGTCGGACTCTCGCAAGATGTAAATGGTTGGTCGACACATGTTGGAGAAGAGTATGACAGGTGCTTGCTTTCGTGTGGGGGGGTGAGGTTTACTAGCGGTTCAGCCGCAGGAGGGGCGCAATGCCTGGTTCTAAGGCTAGGTAGGCAGACTTCAGCTGAAGCTACCTAATAATGCTCGTTCCCTGCCTAGCCAGGTAAGCGTGTCGACCTGACGGAAGGTCGAAAGCCTTTTTTTGGGCTTCCTGTGAACTTATCTACCTAGTCATCGCGTATCGAGTGGTCGCAACGATGCGATACCCGTGAGGTGATTTGTGATGGTAGAGTGACAAGACCGCGAATCAATCAGCCACGGCCAGACTTATGGTGGCGTCGATCTAGGACACCCGCTAGTGGAAGGTCCGTGCCCACCGCGCAGTCCATCTGCTCTGCATCTCAAAAGACATGAAAACCACTAAGGAGTCAACAAAATTGCTACAAATTATCCTCTCGCTAATTCCGATTGTACTTCAAGGCTTCGCTGCATGCATCGCTACCCATACTCGAACCCGCTTTCCAAGGTTCGGCCGGAAGATGTCAGATGGGGAAATTGGAATGGCAAGAGCCTCGTGGCTACAGAGAAGACTAGCGACCAGCCTGTCTCCCGTTCCCCACAACATCCCGACTCTCAGTCGTAAACTATACTGCCATTGCTGCGCATTTCGTCCTCGCCTGCGCTCCCCGAATGTTAGGGTCTAAGGACGACGAGAGGCCGCCAACTTCAGGCCCCACTAGCCGGTTTTGCTGGCCGTTGATTCGAGCGAACGAAATCCTCCGCCTCCCGTAAACTTCCTACCCCAAGGCTCCATCTCCACCTTTGCAACGTCACTTGCGGAGAGTGGTTCTTTGCCTTCCCTTTCCAGGAACCGTTACCCATCTCAGACTACCCGACCGGACGGATCGTGGTTCGCGACAAGGGTTTCGCTGTAAGGGCAGCATGGGGCGCCATTCGCTCACACATGGCACACAAGATCTGCCCAGGCGCGAGAGACAGATCCGCATCATAGACGGATGGCGGTATGCTATATAAGACAAGGAGGTTTCCCGACCATCACCGAGGTTTATCACCGCACCAGCTCGCCTTCTACCCAGGATGTCCTCCACTAAAGCCAGCCTCACGGCTCTCGCCTTAGGGTTCTCATCTCTCTTTACCCCGGCCTTCGCCGCCCCTTCGCCATCTTACAACTCGCCCAAACCAGTCAAAGACCCCTACTCCAGGGATTACTGGCCTTCGCCTCGCAAGATCACAGGTCAGGACTTGAACGGTACGCTTGGTGGTGTCCACATCCACGACCCAAGTATTGTGCTCGGACCGGACGGCCACTACTACTCATTCTCCTCTCATGGCTTGGCAACCACCTCCCGTGCTTCGAAGAAGAACAGCCTGGAAGGGTACTGGGAGGTTGTTGCTCAAGTTCTGGAGCCGCCTGGCAGCATTGATGATCCCGCTCAGGCAAACCGTCTTTGGTAAGAGGCAGCTACTTTGGAAATACCACGAGGAATTGCGTACTAACGCTATAATGCAGGGCCCCAGATGTTCACAAGGTCGGTGATACCTATTACTGCTACTATACCGTCTCCGACTTCGGCGTCTCAGAGTCATTCATTGGGCTTGCTACCTCGAAGACCCTGCAAAACGGGTCCTGGACTGACCACGGCATGGTCGTGTCTTCCAACAGCACCGACGCTCCGTTCCCGCTGAGCAAGACCAACACCATCGACGCGGCTTTCATCCAAGACGCCAAGACCGGCAAAAGCTACCTCTCCTACGGCTCCTGGTGGGCCAACCTCTGGCAGTTCGAGTTGACCAAGGATCTCAAATCGGTCAAGATCCCCACTGCCCGTCAGCTGAGCTATACCTACGATCCCGTGCTGCCGACTAAAGAGCAGGCGTACGCCAATATGTCTCTTTC